GAAAAGCTTCCTTCTCTTTTCAAATAGTAACATGGGATCTTTAACATCTACTTGAGCAAGTATTTGGGAGCTCGATTTAACGCCTTATTCAAAAGATGACACCTTGAGTACTGCATTGGAATGTCAGCCTAGACTACAAGCACACGTCCCACACAGAAATCAAGTCACAAGACAAAGCAAAAGCCATTGACCTTGAATTTGATGAACCTAACCTTGCTTCCCTAAGTCGATCTGCAGCATTTTTTTGAGGAATTTCGCAGGCTTCAGTGAATCCAGAAACAACAGACTAATTTAACATTCATCATGAACAAGTCATTTTAATTGCTACAAAGAATTTAATTGCTACTGCACATTTCTAATCAACGTATTGAACTACAGACTTAAAGGACTGCGAAAGAATTTTTAAAAACATTTTCATCTGTAAAACCTCCAGATAAAGCTTTGGGTTATGCAAAAAAACAATACAGACAAGAACTCCCCTATACTTCCTCAATAATAAAACTAACCCTCAACATCATAGAACCATAGAAATTTACAGCACGGGCAGCTATTTGGCCCACCGTGTCTATGCTGGCTCTCTCTCACCAATTCTTTCAGAGCCATTTACCTGCCCTTTCCCCATACCTCTGCAGCTAACCCTTTTTAAGGTATCTGTCGAGTTCCAACTTAAAGACCGATATGGATTTTGCCTCAACTAGCAGAAGGGGATTCTATATTCTAATTGAGTGAAAAAAGATTCTCCTAACCTCTCCATTTGCTCGTTTACTAGCTATCTAAAAGTGATGCCCTCTGGATACTCACTGATCAGTGAAAGTAATTTCTTCCTATTGACTTATCAAAACCCCTCAAAATTTTAAACAACTTTTATCAGGTCAACCTTCCTTGTTCCAGCGAAAAAAGACCCTCCAGCGTCCACTTATAAGCCAAACCACTCATCCCTGATATTATCCTCTGGACCCACTCTATCATCTTGAGGTCCTTCGTAAAGTAGGGTGACCAATACTGGATTCAATGTTCTAACTGCAGTCTAACAATTTATATGACTTTAGCATTATCTCTTTGTTTTTGTATGCTATACCCCTATTTATAAAACCTAAGATTCCATTAGCGTTTTTGACAGCTTTGTTGACCTGCGTTCCCACCTTTAAAGATTTATGTACGTACACAAATCCCTTTGCTCTTCCACTCTTTCTAGCTCCCACCACATCATCTCAGTTTACTAACACATTGACACTATTGTAGTTTGGACTGTTGCAGTATATTTATTGTAGGTTTTCCACGTAATAATAATCCTTGCATTTGATATAGTGCTTTTCACATCATTGAGACGTCTCAAAGCGCTTCACAGAAGACTGTAAAGTGAATTGACTGTATATTTGCGGGAAACGCGGCAGCCAATTGCGCACAGCAGTGTCCCACAAACAGTCGTGGATTGAAGTGACCAATTTTTTTTTTCTTGAGTGATTATTATTAGGCGTGTGGAGTAAGGGAACTTGCCCAAGGTTTCGCCCTGCCGGGAATCAAACCCAGGTCTCTTGCTTGAGAGGCGAGTGCTCTGACCACTGAGCTACAGGACTCCACATAAAAACACCATCAAATACCGGAATTCCAGTGTAGGGAAGTATTACCAGCTCTTCGGCTACCTTGGTTTTCTTGCTCTTCTTCTCAAGAATATTATATTTATACCCATAAAATTGGTTATTTACTTCCAACAACAACAACTTGCACTTATATAGCGTCCTCCAAACAGTGTAGCGTCCAAAGCGCTTAACAATGGCGAAGCCGGACTCCAAGCTGGGGGGTGAGGTGGCCATAAGCACAGTCGAAGAGGAAGGTTTTCAGGCAGGTCTTGAAAAAGCGGAGAGACGGAGCAAGGCAGAGGGATTGAGGGAGAGTGTTCCAAAGTTTTGGGGCATAGTGGCTGAAAGCGCGAACTTCGATGGTGGAGCAGAGGGTGCGAGGGACGAGCAGGAGGCCGGTGCCAGTCGAGCAGAGGCACTGGGTGGTGGATTGGGGAGTGAGGAGGTTCGAGAGGTACGGAGGTGTCAGGGAATGAAGGGATGTGAAAACGAGTGTGAGGATCTTGAAGTCGATCCGTTTGGTGATGGGGAGCCAGTGGAGCCTGGCCAGAACAGGTAAGATGGCAGTATGGGGTTTGGTCGGGTCAGTAAGCGGACAGCAGAGTTCTGAATGAGCTGGATCTTTTGACCGGCGAGGAGTGCTTTTGAGTAATCCAGGTGGGAGGTGACAAATGCATGTACGAGGGTTTCGGCTGCATTTGGGGTAAGGTACCAATGTGGCGTAAGTGGAAGAAGGAGGTCCTGATGACGGACCGGATGTGGGGGAGGAAGGACAGCTGGGGTCGAACCGGATGCCTAGGATTGCGCACTGGTTCGGTGAGTATGAGGGAGAGCCCAGGGAGGTTGAGGAGTTCAGATCCGCAGGAGTGAATACATTGATGGGAGCCAAGGAGTATGGCTTCTGCCTTGTCCACATTCAGCTGCTACAAGAAGTTTGCACTCATCCAGGCCCTGATGTCTGTCAGACAAGCTGATAGAACATCGACGAACCTGTAGTTGGTGCTGGAGGAGGCAAAGTATATTTGTGTGTCATCCGCATACATGTAGACGTTACCCTGTGTCTGCAGATGACATTGCCCAGAGGGAGCATATAGATGAGGAAAAGAAGAGGGTCAAAGATAGAGCCCTGGGGTACCCCACAGGTGACCAGGCGGGGGCGGCAGGAGAAACCATTTGCCGAGATGAAATGGAGGTGGTTGGTTAAGTAGGACTCGACTTAGCTTCTCTGTGTTTTTCTGACTTAACTTCATGGCTGTTTGTAGAACATTCTTGTGCACAAGTTGGCTGCAGCATTTCGTCTTCAAAATATGCAGTCACTAAATTTTACAGTATACCCTGTGAAGTGCTTTGAAACATCCTCCTGACATGAAAGGTACTGTATCAAATCTAAAGGATTATTGTTTCATTAAACATAGTGGTTGTTGGACAGTCCTTTAAGAGGAAATTAACAATTAACTTTTAATTAATCAGACAATTAACTGGGAACCAATGAACAAAAACTAGGAAATATAAAAGGGATTCTGGGAGAACAACTGGGTTTTTGGTTGGAATATTCGATTATTTTTGATCTGAGAACAAAATAGTTACCTTTTACACCTGAGTTTTGAGGATCATTACAATGGTTACACTTATTCAAAGAAAAGTTTACACATCATGAATGGGGATCAGTAACGCATCCATGTGATGTTCCTAGTTTCATTTTGGAAAGTCAATTACATGTGATACGTTATACAAATTAACTTGCATTTATTTACATAGCATCCTTCACATGGGATGACATCTCAGAATGCTTAAAGTGTTATGTTCCATTTCCTAGAGCTTTATCTCAAGGCCCTTTACAGTAGGTATTGTCCAGTGAGTGTTTAAGATGAACCAGGATGGTTTTTGCAAGCATGTGCTCCCTGCTTTTTGGGGGGGCAAAAGCAGCAGCCATTTTTCCATACAGCAAGTTCCCCAAACAGCCATGAGGTGACTGACCAATTTATCTGGAGGGTAGTTTGCCAAGCCTTCTCATTTCAAATAGCATCATGGGATCTTTAAGGTCCAACTGATATGATAAACAGGCATTTAATATCTCTTCTAATGAACAGGGCTTATAACACTGCAGTGCTCCAGAGAACTGCACAGGAATGTCAGCATAAAAGGGTCCCAATGTGGGACTTGAATCTACCCAGAGGTGATAGTGCAACCTATACACACTATATAAACATATTGGGGAATAGAAAAATATTAGATGCATCCCACACATAAGGAAACACTTCATCCTGTCCTAACATTTATATTACGCAAATTCACAAACCTGTAACTGACATGACATGTGTACAATGCTCAACATTATCAATATAGAGATATTGGTAGATTATTTCCAACTGGTTACATAAAAGTAAAACAAGTTAAATATTGCCCTTCTACAACTTTAGAATTATAGTGCATTATTATTGCAATACGTTGCTTGAATTTTAAAAAGTTAAAATGAGTCATTTGAGTAGAAACATACGACTGTATACACAGGCTGCTCGGGATGAACCATGATGGCTTGTGGAAGCATGTGCTCCCTGGTGTGTCTCTCCCTCCCCCCCAACATCTCTAATCCAAACCCTAAAACAGTCATTCATTTATTGGTGATGACTGTTAAGAAATCTAAAATAGATTTGAGTCTTCAATAGAAACATTGAGACTCTTTGCACCCTTTTATATTTACAACTCCTCAGACAGTCTGCAAATGTATCAGTGTGTACTGGATCTTAAAGAGTGTAAAGGCAACGAATCTTTACCAACAGCCAACGATCCACGTATCCACTTCCCAAACTACCTGTCCTCACCTCATGAGCTACGACTTTAAGGTTAAATAAAACGCCATTTTAGAGCTTAAACGGAGAATATTTAAAGGCAAAAAAAAAAGTTTCAGTTATATAAGAAAAAAAAACGGCTGTATTTCAGAGCTTCTGGTGGTTTTAAATGTCCTCCAAAACGAGTTTCTTCGTGTTATCCTCAGTCAAATGTTTTTACCCCCAAAAAAATACAGTAACTGAAACAGGACCAACCGATGGGGAGGGCAGAGGGGGAGAGGGGGAGAGACAATATACATCTGAACGGTTTTCTCGTTTGATTTGAGAGAGAAAAAAAGAAACCAACTGCAGAAGCCATAGGGGACCCCCGGTTATAAATACACAGTGTAGTAAAGGAGAGAGAAGAGGGCCCCCGGGCCGGGCCGGGCCGGACCAGACCAGCCCCCGGGGAGGGGGAGAGGGAGAGGGAGCCCTGGGGTCTGGGGACTGCGCCACACTCAGCCCCCCCTCCCCTCCCCTCCCTCAGCCCCGCGGAGACACCCGGAGGCGCCTCTGCCAGAGGGGGAGAGAGGCGACAGACGGCCCCCCGGTCCCCCCCGGGATGGGGCGGGAGGGCGGTGCACGGCCTTACCATTAAAACTTTGGCAGCGCTCTCCAGCTGTGCTATCACTTCTGGTGCATTATGAGCCGCCATCATGGCCTCTTCAATGACGCGCCATGCGGGGCATTGTGGGACAGAGCGGCGGCGGCGGCGCTCCCGGAGGTCCCATAGCTACACCGTGTACACACCCCCTGTACACACACACACCCCGTGTACACACCCCCTGTACACACACCATACACACACCCCCTGTACACACACACCCCCTGTACACACACCATACACACACCCCCTGTACACACACCATACACACACCCCCTGTACACACACCATACACACACCCCCTGTACACACACACACACCCTGTACACACCCCCTGTACACACACACCCCCTGTACACACACACACCCCCTGTACACACACACACACCATACACACACCCCCTGTACACACACACACACCCCCTGTACACACACACACCCCCTGTACACACACACCCCCTGTACACACACACACCCCCTGTACACACACACACACACCATACACACACCCCCTGTACACACACACACACCCCCTGTACACACACACACCCCCTGTACACACCCCGTGTACACACACACACCCCCTGTACACACCCCCTGTACACACACACACCCCCTGTACACACACACACACACACCATACACACACACACACCCCCTGTACACACACACACACCATACACACACACACACACCCACCCCCTGTACACACACACACACACCCTGTACACACACCATACACACACCCCCTGTACACACACCATACACCCCCTGTACACACACACACACACCCTGTACACACACCATACACACCCTGTACACACACCATACACCCCCTGTACACACACACACACACACACACCCTGTTCACACACACACACACACCCTGTACACACACCATACACACACCCCCTGTACACACACACACACACCCTGTACACACACACACCCCCTGTACACACACCATACACACCCCCCCTGTACACACACCATACACACACCCCCTGTACACACACACCCCCCTGTACACACACCATACACACCCCCCCTGTACACACACACCCCCCCTGTACACATACCCTATACACACACACACCCTGTACACACACCATACACACACCCCCTGTACACACACACACCCCCTGTACACACACACACACACACACACCATACACACACCCCCTGTACACACACAGACACCCTGTACACACACCATACACACCCCCTGTACACACACACACCCTGTACACACACCATACACACACCCCCTGTACACACACACCCCCTGTACACACACACACACACCCTGTACACACCCCCTGTACACACACCCTGTACACACACACACACACCCTGTACACACACACACACACCCTGTACACACACACACACACCCCGTACACACTCACACACACCCTGTACACACTCACACACACCCTGTACACACACCATACACACACACCCTGTACACACACCATACACACACCCTGTACACACACCATACACACACCCCCTGTACACACACACACCCCCTGTACACACACACCCTGTACACACACCATACACACACACACGCCATACACACACCCCCTGTACACACCATACACACACACCCTGTACACACACCATACACACACCCTGTACACACACCATACACACACCCTGTACACACACCATACACACACCCCCTGTACACACACACACACCCTGTACACACACCATACACACACCCCCTGTACACACACACACACTCCCTGTACACACACCATACACACACCCCCTGTACACACACCATACACACACACACCCTGTACACACACACACACACCCTGTACACACCCCCTGTACACACACCATACACACACACCCTGTACACACACACACCCTGTACACACCTCCTGTACACACACACACCCTGTACACACCCCATACACACACCCTGTACACACACACACACCCTGTACACACCCCCTGCACACACACCCTGTACACACCAGTACACACACACACACCCTGTACACACACACACACCCTGTACACACACACACCCTGTACACACACACACCCTGTACACACACACACCCTGTACACACACACACACCTTGTACACACCCCCTGTACACACACACCCTGTACACACCCCCTGTACACACACACACACCCTGTACACAGCCCACACACACCCTGTACACACACCCTGTACACACACCCTGTACACACACACACACCTGTACACACCCCCTGTACACCCCCTGTACACACACACACCCTGTACACACACCCTGTACACACACACCCTGTACACACACCTCCTGTACACACACGCCCTGTACACACGCCCTGTACACACACACACATCCTGTACACACCCCATACACACACACACCCTATACACACCCCACACACCCTATACACACACACCCTATACACACAGCTACACCCTGTACACACACCCTATACACACACAGCTACACCCTGTACACACACCCTATACACACACAGCTACACCCTATACACATCCTATACATACTCACCCTGTATACACACATAGCCATATCCTACACACTCCCTGTACATACACATACACACCCTGTACATACACACCCTGTACACACACACCCTTCATATACACACACCCTACACACACCCTGTACATACACATAGCTACACCCTGTACATCCGCACACTACACACATCCTGTGCATACACACTCACACCCTGTACATACACACCTTGTATATACACCCTGTACACTGTACATATACACACTGTACCCACCCTGTACATACATACACACCCTACACACACCCTGTACATACACACCCTGTATATACACCCTGTACACTGTACATATACACACTGTACCCACCCTGTACATACATACACACCCTACACACACCCTGTACATACACACCCTGTATTCACGTAGCTACACCCTGTACATATATCCCCTACATACACTTCCTGTACACACACATAGCTACAATCTGTACACACACACCCTGCAACAAACTCTATACACAACCCCTGCATTCATACTCTACACACACCCCCTGCATTCAAACTCTACACACACCTCCAGCACATACTCTACACACACCCTGTACACACACTCTACACATACACACACACCCTGTGCACACCCAGTATACACATATAGCTACACCCTATGCATACACACCCTGTACACACTACACACTCCCTGTCCCCACACACCCTGTACACTCACATAGCTACACCCTGTACATACACACACCCACTCTGTACACATCCAGTATACAGACCTAGCTACACACCCTGTACATACACACACACTGTACACACCCACTATACACACATAGCTACACTCTGTACATACACCCCCTGCACATATACTACACACACCCTATACACACCCTGTACACACACACACACTCTACACATCCTGTACATACACCCCCTCCATACACACTCTGCACACAGCCTATACGTACAGACACTACACCCCCCTGTACACACACCCTGTACACACACACCCTCTACTCATCCTGTACATACACAATCTACACACCTTGTACACACACCCTCTATACACACATAGCTACACCCTGTACACACACACACCCTCTATACACACATAACTACATCAGACACCACTCCACCCCCTCCCCACCCCCACATGCACACACGCCAGATACACACAGGAGATACATAGAGCCAGGAGGTACACACAGCCCCTCCCTCACAGAAATATAGGAGGTACATACATCCCTCCCCACCCCCACACAGGAGATACACACAGCCCCCCACACATTACACAGGAGGTACACACAGCCCCGCAATAATAATAATAATAATAATAATAATCCTTGCATTTGATATAGCGCTTTTCACGTCGGGAGGACGTCCCAAAGCGCTTCACAGAACACACTGTAAAGTGAATTGACTGTATATTTGTGGGCGAACGCGGCAGCCAATTGCGCACAGCAATGTCCCACAAACAGTCGTAATTGAAAATGACCAATTTATTATTGTTTTGTTTTTTGAAGGGATTATTATTAGGCTCTGTGTGGAGTAAGGAAACTTGCCCAAGGTTTCGCCCTGTCTGGAATTGAACTCAGGTCTCTCGCTTGCAAAGCTACTGAGCTACAGGACTCCACTATATAGCTTATGTGAGGTTTACAGTATTGTACTATATATACATATATATTTAAACCCCCGACAATCAGTGCAGGCAGCAGCAGCACCATGAAGCCCTCCTTTCTACAGATCCACTCCACCCTCAACATCCATTGCTGCTCCCAACACCTGTCGGAGCTCCTAACGAAGTGTGTACAGGGTGTGTATAGGGTGTGTGTAGCAATCCCCTCCCCCCCCCCACACACACACAGGAGATACACACCACAACAAAATTACATTTATAGAGCGCCTTTCACGTCGGGAGAACGTCCCAGGGTGCTGGATAGTCAAGAGGTTGGGACCTGAGCATGGAGGAGGGGTGGGGTAGGGGTGAGGGAAGGCAGAGAGGTGGGAGGGCGACCGAAGGTATGATCGAAGAGAAGGGTTTCGAGACCGGCCTTGAAGGAGGTAAGGAAGGCGAAGGGACTGTAGGATGGAGTTCCACAGTGTGGGGGCAGAGGCTGATGGCTCGGCCACCGATGGTAGGACGGGTCGGGCGGGAGACATGGAGCAGGCCGGAGCCCGATGAACGGAGGAAGCGGGCAGGTTGGTAGGGAGTCAGAGGTCAGAGAGGTAGAAGGGGGCAAGGCCATGGATGGACTTGAAAGTGAGGACGAGGATCTTGAATTCAATCCTCTGGGGGATGGGGAGCCAGTGGAGTCGGGCGAGGGTGGGAGTGATGGGGTCACGGAGCCTGGAGCGTGAGAGTACACAAGTTGCAGAGTTTTGGATGATCTGCATCTTGTGAAGGGAAGAGTTGGGAAGGCCGATGAGGAGGGAATTTCCATAATCGAGCTTTGCTGTGACCTATGCGTGGGTGAGGGTTTCGGCAGCCTGAGGGGTGAGGCAGTGGCAGAGTCTGGCAATGTTGCGGAGGTGGTGGTAGGCAGTGCTGGTTATGGTGCAGATGTGGGGGAGAAAGGACAGTTCAGGGTCAAACAAGACACCCAGGTTCCTGACTGGCTTAGTGAGGTTGAGTGTGCAGTCGTGGAGACTGATGCTGCCAGCGCCCGAGGTGCGGAGGCGCTGACGCGAGCCAATCAGGAGGGCCTCGGTCTTGCTGACGTTCAGCTGGAGAACGTTGCCCAGGACCTAATGTCGGACGGGCAGTCGATCAGGACGCCAGTGGAGGCAGAGATAGAACACACACAGCAACACTCCCCTCCCCCACACACACAGCAGATACATACACACATAGCCACCCCCACCAACACACATACAGACCCCCTGGGGTATAACTTACCCCAGGGCCAGGATATGGGATCACCTCACCCCAGGGTCAGGGCACCCAGCACACGTCAGAGCTGCATACTGGGGCTAGAGCACAGGACTGCTGCAGCCCGGGACCAGGGCTCAGACCACCATCCACAGGGGAGTGCAGTTGCAATCTCGGATCAGGCAATGCAAATTATACACACTAATTTTCATGTAAGTAAATTTAAAAAAAGTATGGCCACTAATCCCTCTGCAAGCATAGAATATGACTTCCAGAAACTCATGTTTTATGTTAAAAAAAGGACAATCTCAAACCATTTTGAAGGGGTTGAAATGTTTTCAGATAAACTGCTCATTTTCTGAAAAACAGAATCAACCTATCTATTCCCGCAAATCCACTCTCCTGCAATGTAGTTACGTTGAATTGGAGCTGACAGTATCTTGGCCACTAAACACTGAATTGAATGTTGAGCCTAATGATGTTCTCCAACAATCCTGTGTGGGTTTTCCAGGAGTGGAGGGGGGGTGTGGACGACATCCAGCAGCAAACCTTATATATAAATCTCAGGGTGAAAGTTCATGCGTTTCCCTATCATTCATACTGGTTTGGTTTGCTCTTTACGGACAATGACTACAATATCCACTTTTAACAAAATGGTAATGCTTATTGCAGTTTGACTCTACATTTCCTAAGAAGCATATTATTGCTGCTCGTGGTTGAACCATTCTATTTGGAATTCTTTTGCTTTTCAGTGTACATATCAAGAAAAAAAACAAAGCTACCATGAAAGTGTGCCTGTTCTATGCCCCTAACATACATATACATTTATTGGTTGATGTTTTGGACCCAAGCTACCTCTCACTTTCTTCCCCACTTTCTCTTTCTCCCTCTTTTCTTTCTGTAATTTTTTTACTTCGCCGTGAATTTAAATGTAATGGTAAATCTGTCCTGGTCAATTTTCTCCCTCATTCAAATCCACCCCAAAAATTACTTAATAATAATCTTTTCATTCGATATAGCATCTTAGCACATCATCGAGATGTCTCAAAGCGCTTCACGGGAAAGACTGTAAAGTGGTTTGACTGTTTTGTGGGCAAAACACAGCAGCCTGTTGGTACACAGCAATGTTCCACAAACAGCCATTGGGTGAGTGACCAATCTTATTTGGGGAATTGTTGGCCAGGACACTAGGAGAAGCTCCCTTTTCTTTTTGAATAGTGCCATAGGATCTTAATGGGCACACCTAAAGATGAACAGGCAAACTGTGGTTTAATGTCTCATCCAAAGGATAGCAACTCCAACAATGCATCACCCCTCCCACCCGCCCCCCCAGCACTGCATAGAGTCTCATCTTAGATTGCTTCACTGTTATTTGATGTATAAACTGGGTCAGATTGACTGCTACATTTGCCTACATAATAATTATTCACCACACCTTAAGGTTGGTTGCTCACTTCTGAAATCAGAATCAAATCCCTAAAAGTAGGATATAGACTCTACCAGCTCTGATGGTGCCAAATTACTAGTCAAACGTTGCTTGCAATCAGGCAACATATGTATTTCTACACTGCTTTGACAATGTAGGATAGCTCATGATACTTGCAACCTTCAAAACTCCATACTATGAGATTAGAACAATTAAAGCATGTATTATGGGTGTCTGCTCATGACAGACACTCAGAACTTTGAACAATGTAGCCTGCAGCCTAAACTATGAGTGGAAAGTCATAAAATTAGACTTGAACCCAACAATTTTCTGACTCAGCAATGAGTGCTACCAACTAAGCCAAACTGACACCCATGTATGAAATAGAGGTCAATAATATTCCCACATAAGGTATCAAAAACAAAAAATAAGAGTGCTTTGCACCCCCATTGGGATATACAACAATGGAGAAGATCCAGTGGAGAGGTCATCAGATTACTGAGTCAGAAATATATGTTTTGAGAATATATTCTTTAGACAGTGCATTAGATTTCAAACAAAAATACAAATAGTGTAATTAAATGATGACAATAAGAAATACCATGGACTATGCAGGTTAGAACAGAGGCACAGAAAGCAATTTTTAAATTGATTTTGTAATATTTCCTTAACACATTTCAAAAAAAAGGCACTAGTTTATTATTACGCTAATAAATAAAATGTTATATCTGAATTCCTGAGGAAGAAGATAGCATGAGAAAGCTCACCTGTTAGATATAAGTGTCAGTTATACAACCAATAATACTGTATAATCAAAAGATAATGTCACAGAACAAGCACAATACAATAATTGTCAGATGTTCAGAACACTCCTTTTATACATAAATGTAAACAAGTACTGTACATACAATATAGATATTATTCATTGTCTGATGAATATCATAGGTCTTTTAGAAAGGTTTTTGTGCTCTATAGGACAATAACTTTTTACTAATGGCATCTCCACATTGCATAGATACTCCACGTTTTCCAAAATAACAGAATTCATTACAATGAGCAGTAAAATATAAAAGTATATATGTAATTTGTATTCAATTAGGCTAAATAATGTCCAGTTTCCCAAAATCATATTTGGGCATGTTTTAGGATTACTGAGGATCAACAATATTGTCCAGATTCAAACTTTTGTTCACAGCAGGTGACTAATATGACACAGAATGTTATACTGGATAATGATTTTTTCCTTTCCATCTCTTTTGTTACACACATTCTTAAAAGGACATCATTGACATTGACCATCTTCTGCTGCTATTGTTTTTGAAAATGTAAATACAATTTACACATCTTTATAAGCTTGATGAAAAGATTGATAACATATGTGAAATGCTATTTTAACTGTGAAGTCATAATCATGTACAGCTTAGTGCCACTGCTTGGTGTAGCAATGGGTAGCACAGGACAGGCAAGTCCCAGGTTTGATCACTTATCCTGACTGAATCGGCACTAAAATTGGCTTCAGTGGACTAAAAAAAAGGGAAAAGATAATTAGCGAAATTTCTGCTTCCAATCACTCGTCTGACCTGTTGGAAAGTAATTTTTAAAAGTTTGTGTGGAGACAGGATTGGACTGGGGTTTGATGTACTTTAGGGTTGAATAATCTTGCAGGATTCACTTTCTAGGATCACAAATGATAATTGGCCAATTGGGAAAAATACTGGAGAAATCCACAAATACCTCATACAAGTGGCCATTCTTCCTGTCTGACCTTTTTACTAGGTCTTTATAATGGGTTTGGTAGTTTCAGCAAATGGCACACGATAGATCCCAATGAGTTTTGGCAAGCTCTTTAACTGTAAGAGGCAACACTAACAACAAATTTACATTTCTATAGTATCTTTCACTTTGGGAGGATGTCCCAAGGCACCGAGCAGAGATTACATAGTGTGCTCATGACATCCATGTGTAGGCACCTAAATAACAGGAGCCATAGTGATCGTGAAGGAGAATCCTGTCTAATTTTTCCCTCAATGAGCAATGAGACTAATTTGTAACATCCCAACTACTGTTCCTACTTGAGATCAGTTAACTGAGTACAGTGTGATCTTTTGATTGTATAGCTTAATGCTAAAGTGGGTGATGCCTTTGCCTACTTGACCATTCAAGAGTTTTTTTAAGTTCTTAAATATATGCTGTAAGAGTGGCACTCAATAAACCGACTGAATATTATTCGAACAAATAGTCACTTGAAACATAATTGTTTTCATAGGTAATATTTTCGTCGAGAAATAGAACAAAGTACCGGATAACATTTTCCTCACAATATGCCCTTGTATATAGCCCAATGGACAACTCATTATTTCTCTATCAATTTGTATTTAAAACAGATGAAGTTGCTTATTCCATCCCCCCAAAAAATGTGTAAAGATGAAAATGACAGTAATGGAAACACATTTTTCAAAGAGGTAATTTCACATTTGAATAGGTCTTGAAAGATACAGAATTACAATTCGATATTAAATATATATTTAATTATTCCCCATTCAATGATGGTAGAGAAGTTTTCTTAATTTTCAACTGAAGCCATGTGATATGGATTAAGGATAATTTGACAATGTGTAGTGTGGTGTCATTCTATATTCAACCACAAAATGTTTAATAAACAGCTGAATATCGGGTCAAAAACATAATGAACTAATTTGAATCTCATTTTTGGCTGCTGTGTGCCATATATCCCAATGTTTGTTCCAACATTGTGTATATGTGCACACACACACATATATATATATATACACACGGTACACAATTTATTTTATATATTAGAAAGAGAGCGAAAGGCAAACCCATATACAGACAGTTTATTCTCACGATTCCACCCATTTCAACTGGTATTATAGGAGTGACCAAATAATTAATTCATGTCCATGTTACCTTGACAAACTGAAGCAAAAATAAACTAATCAAAACTTTGCTACACTTTCAATCATCCAATTGTTTTTCAGTTTGGCAATAAGTACACATGCAGATCCACTGTTTGTTAAATATGTTCAGATTAATTAAGAGGTAGATGTACTGTAAAGGTTAAAATGCAAGAATAAAAATAAACCTCTTATGCTTATGAGTATAAATGAAATGTAACAGGTCCCAGTAAGAAATATGTGATTTGCTTCTCTAATATTCATTCACTCATCTTATTAAGACTTTTGCATTAATTTTTTTTCATTCTTAAATCTTTTATACTTTTCTAAAAATAAGTACAGTATTATGCAGTATCAATAATAGTTTGTTCTGATCAACATTATGAAACAGCAGCCAATGGAAACAGAACTCAGTGAATAATTTCCTATGTAGACTACTACCACACATTGTCAATGGTCCATAATGATAACAGAACCAGGAAACAGAGGAAGGTTCTGTGTCCATATTACTTTGAAAAGAAAAGCTGAAGAAATGATATCTGGTAGGACTAATAACACCTAAAGAAAGTATGAATACTGAGGACAGAGAAAAAGCATGAGAATGGAAACCACCATAAGGACATGAATCAAATAATCAAAGATAGTACTGATGACAAGGACTTGCAAAATTTCCCAAGAAAGAGCTTGAGCTTTTTAATTAATAAATGAAGGCAATTTTACACAGGACCTGCCTGTGATTTAAAACGTATTCCATAACTAGATTAACTAAAAAGAGGAAAATCCTGTTCATGCATGAATTCCATATACTGAATGCATTCTGCGATGCATAATTTTCATAACTCAAACTCACTCTTCTCACACTTTACATTGAAAAATACATTGTATATACAAGGTAAGCAGCATTAGTGTTACGTAATTTGCTCCAGGCCTCTCAATATAGATATAAAATTAACAGAATGTTTATAGATATCATACATTGTATTGTATTACAGTTACTAATGGCATTATATATAAAAACATAATATATTGACTTACATATTATTGCACTTAGCCATTTTTCATAACTTCCTTCACTTTTCCGTACATATTTGCAATCCCATCTACATATTCTAGGTGTATTCAGGAGTTTGTTGTCTAGTTCTACTCTTTTTGCTAAAAGTTAGTGCTGATTCTGAATATCACATGTTTTTTTTAAAAAAAGTATAGCAGCAGCCCAGCACTTATATGTACAAGGCACAATATGCCACTAAGACATGGTAAGTGCTTTCTGTTTTTCATCATTGATCTTATTTTTGTAGATTGTACTATTCCAAACACGGGGTGGGAAGGAATACCCCCAAAACTTCCTTCAAACATATACAGGCTGATAACTTTCACTACGATCAACAGAATCTCTGCGGTCCAAATCTGTGCGATTATGTTTGGGTTCCCCATTGTCCAAGGGCTTTGGGTACCTAAATGGATAACCGTTGTCATCAAAGAATCTTCGAAAAGTGAACTCATAGAAAGCGTGCTCTGGATGCTTATTACCACTCATGTGATTAATTAATGTGTCAGAAGTTTTGTTGCTGTCACTGCTGTCGTTCCACAAGTTTTCTTCCTCGATGGGATCAAAATTGCAAGTGTCCATGGGATGGCTAATCTTTGGAAAATAGGGTGCTGCCTGCCTGCGGATCTCTTTAGAAAAATCAATAGATGTAAAAAAATGATGAGCCTTGATTTCATCCGCTCCATTCCCACCAAGCCTGTCGTCAGCTCCACAACAAAGTTTTGCAATAAGATCGGTTCCCTCAGGGCTTAGCTTCACTTGTGGTGGAACACAGAGTGTGCTCTCCCAATTTATAACCTGGGGAACAACATTTACAAAACAATTACAGGTGTTCACTCAGCATAGTGTATAATTATGAAATGACACTGAGTTGATTTGAGAAACAATCTGTTATTTTCTCAAGTGCTGCAACACCCCCCCGCCCTCCCTCCATTCCAGTTTTCTGCATGTGGAAAGGGAGTTTCTATTTTAAATAACAACCGGGAATGGGAATCAAAGTAAAATATTCTCATTCTCCAATCCAGGTATACTGAGCCACCAATAGAAGCTACACTCTATTCCATCTTACCTAACACAGCACAGACCAGTTTTCATATAGAAATACCTGATCCATATGCTTCTGCTTTGAGCGCCTTGGGACGTCCTCCCGATGTGAAAGGCATTCTATAAATGTAATTTTGTTGTTAGTGGTGTTCTGTTCAGTCTAGACTATTAGTAAGCTAATGTCATAGTTGGGCCATGATATGATCGCTTTTTCTGTCACAACCCTCCAATAGCTTAAAACAAGGGGAGTTTAGCCAAACCATCCAAACTCCTCTCACCTTCACAACTTCAAATGCACAACTATCAATTCCCACATTTACAATGCATTCAAGCAATTTGTCAGCCTGGAATTGGTACTATTCTCAACTCTGAGTTAGGAGGTTGTGGGTTAAAGGGGTGGCTTTGGTTAATACTATAACTTTCCAAATACTTTGCTTTATTTGGATAATAATAGTTTTAGTACATACCTTAATTTGGGTCTCCGCAGGTGTAGGAGCAAGAAATGGAGGCTGTCCCACAAGCATTTCAAAGAGAATGACTCCAACACTCCACCAGTCACAAAGTTGGGTGTAACCTGTCAGAAGTACAACGTTAATTGATATGTTTCTTTACATGCAATTAAAACAATGATGAGACTGAAACAAATATTTTAAAAGTTGCATTTATATCATTATTACATTACATTAGAATACAACCGTTAGCAGATTGATGGGTTTTCTTAAGGTCAATAGAATCCATCCGAGCGAGCACGTATTCCTTTGAGGAATAAGAATGCCACAGGAAAGGTGGCCCAACCGTGGCTAACTAGAGCAGTTAGGGAAAGTATAAAGTTAAAAGAAGAAGCCTATAAAACATCTAAGATGAGTGGTAAACCCGAGGATTGGGAGAACTTTAGGGATCAACAAAGGAGAACCAAAAATGTGATTAAGAGGGAGAAAATGGAACATGAGGGCAAATTAGCGAAGAACATAAAGACAGACTGGAAGAGTTTTTATAAATATATAAAGAGGAAGAGGCTGTCAAAGGTAAATGTGGGTCCGCCACAGGCAGAGACGGGGGGAATTATAGTAGCGGACAAAGACATGGCAGAGTCATTAAACAAGTACTTTGCTACTGTCTTCACCTTAGAAGACACTGAACACCTACCAAGAATAGAGGGGAACCAAGAAGAAAATGTTTGCGAGCAACTTGGGGGAATTAATATTAGTAAAGAAATGGTTTTAGGTAAATTATCAGGTCTTAAAACTGAAATCTCCTGGACCTGATGCCCTACAACCTAGGGTTTTAAAAGAGATGGCTACTGAGATAGTGGAGGGCTGTATTCTCTAGAGTACAGAAGAATTAGGGGAGATCTTATTGAAACATATAAGATTCTTAAAGGGCTGATAAAGTAGACACTGAGGGTCTGTTTCCCTTGGTAGGAGAATCTATAACCAGGGGTCACAGTCTTAAAATTAAGGGTCAGCCTTTTAGAACAGAGTTGAGGAAACATTTCTTCACTCAGAGGGTAGTGAATTCATGGAATTCACTACCCCAGAAGACTGTAGATGCTCAGTCCTTGAACATCTTCAAGGCTGAGACTGATAGATTTTTAAAAAAGAGGGATTAGGGGATTTGGGGACAGAGCAGGTAATTAGTGTTAGGTCTGAAGATCAGCCATTATCTTATCAAATGGCGGGGCAGACTCGAGGGGCCGAATGGCCTACTCCTGCTCCTAATTCTTATGTTCTTATTCAGCATAAATATGTACTAAATCGACATATGTTTATTTTCCTCACCTCCTTATTGTCCTTCCCTTATCGTAGCTATATACATCTGCCATGTCCAAGTTACACTACTTCATGAGATGAACAGTGACCCAGTGAACTTTATGTTAATTGAAGTGGCCTAAGTGGTATCATGATGAAATCTGAACTAATTTATTCCTGTGTACTCATAAATAATTGTAATCCAATTACAAGTGATAACGCATATTGGAGCATACAATTAAATTAGTTTTAAAATTGCACAAAATTTATTTATACCAATATTCTTCCCCTCCTGAAGACACAAACTCAACCTGGAAATATGCTATCATTGGTACCTAACTCACATCAAATTCTTCATATTTGAGCCTTCACAGTGAAGGCCTATCAGCAGGTTGTTTGACCACAGAAGCATAGGAGCTGAGCTCACCCTTTACCACACTAATATTTACACCTTCCGCAGAAGTCATTGTACTTGATGTAGTAAATAATATCCAAGGAGACACTGAAGCAAATTGTAGCGCCCCAATAACAACAACTTATTTAGGAACCTCCACGCAGGGTAGCGTCTCAGAGTGCCTGAGACTTCCTAGCTCAGCACATAGCAGGATTTGAACCTGCAACCTTGTGATCAGAAATAGCTTCCTGTTACACTGATAGTGGTTTTACCCATTAGGCTATTGAGGGGATGCTTATACAGGGACACTGGGAGAAATTCACTAATCCAACTGAACAGATGAAGCTAAAGGTTTGAAGGGATGTGAGAGGGCAGGACAGTAGGATTAAATGCAAGGATTATTATTATTATTTACCATGCCTCTAGGAGGAGCACTTTGTGGCAGAAAGACTACGAATCCCACCCTTCTGCCTGCGTAATGCAAAGCAATACCAATAGCAGTTACCTCAACCTAAGAGACTGGCAAAGGTACTTCGGAGCAAGGTGGGGCAAGGAACAGGGAAAATAATTTCTAATTATATTTTTGAAAAAGTTCCTATCCTCTGGCAACAGTAAAATCATGTTCCAGATTATAAAACATTATTTCGAAATGTCAAATTGAGCCTTGTGCTTTCAGTTGTAACAGGTTACATTGAATAAAGTAATATAATACAGTACCCACCAGTTAATGAACACCACGTTAATGGGAAGGAACATTTAAAATAGTACAATGTATTATATTCTATTGGATAGACTGCTGGTTTATGGAAAAAATGTAGATGGAATAGCTAATTTATAGGCACAGTTACATGCCAGGGATGCAATTAATAAATTATTACTACCTGCTGACTTTTATACATGAGCAAGCAAGTAAGATTGAAATTCAAGAGGAAATCACAATAGCATATTCAGTATTAAGATTGTTTTATGAGAGTCTTCTGATGGTCTCAGGGGTAAAGGCACCAACTGATGCTACAATAGCCCACACAGCAAATGTTGAGGTTTGTACTAAGCTCATCTCACCTGGAACAGCAATTAGGTGCTACAATAGGTAAAGGAGGAGGAACCATCACCCAGGATCCCATTCCTGATTGGTCTCTAAAGACATGGAAGGCCATGTGTGGAAGTCAGGTGAGGCTGAGACTGGGTTTCAGCTGTGATGACCGCTGTAGTCGTGATTTGTCGGTCACCAATCTGATGCCAAGCACAGGAGCAGATCTTACTCTAAGAATGCGGAGGGTGGGGAAGAGGGTGCCTGGGATCCCCGCTCCCCCAAAGCAGAGGCTGCTCTAGCTATAGGCAAACTAGGTAGGCAGCTGCCTACATGGCAAATTGCACTCTCAGATTGGTAGCTACGACCCAGGATTGGGCCAGGTCGCCTCAGGAAGTGCCTGGATTAAAGATGGCAAATAAAAGGTGTTGTGTGAAAGTGGCAAAAAAAAACAAAGAAGTGGGTCAGGCAAGGCGCCACTGACACTACAACCAAGGTGGCCATAAGCAGTGGATGGGGTGGGAAGGGGCCGGAGCATAAACATACCTACGGTAGGAGGGTGGCAGCACATTGATGCCGAGGATGGCAGATTGTCTTGAGGAGACTGATTGATAGAGGTAAATTTTCCAAGCAGCAGCAAATTAAAAAAAAAAAAAATCCTTGGGGTTCTCTGTATCCATTGGAGCCTGTGTCTGCCCTTGTCTGCCAATGTCACAAAGACAATGACTAACATGGGCAGTCACAGTCTCCGATACGTAGAGAAACCAGAAGGGTTTTTAGTTTTTTTAAAAATTTATCACTGTATGGCTCCCATCAGCTCCTTCTCACCTCAGACGCTATGTGCATCAATCTGTACAGGTTCTCATTCCACACTATTGCAGTCAGTATGGAACCTCACACTTGTTTGATCCCGAACTATCATTCAAACCTTGCTTTCCCTCACCTCCATATCACCCACTTCTGCCATTATCAAGTTGCGAAGACCCTCATGCTTCCTTCATCACCTCCAGACTCGATGTATCCTGTTTGTCTGATTCCCCAGCTCCTCCCTACGCACACTGCAGAAGTCTGCAGACCGTGACCTCTCCCGCATCAGGCTCCATAAGCCAATGAGCACCATTCTCTTTGCCTCCCCATTCCTCAACAGATCAAATTCAAGATTCTTGTCTTCACTTTGAAATGCTTCAATGGCCTCACCCCACCCTACTTCTGCATCCTTCTGTGGTCCTACTGCCCTGGTCACTACCTCCACTCAGCAAACAGGCCAGCTTCATGTGTACTAATTAGTCCTCCCCACCATCAGTGGATGAGGTGCACGCCATTCTGCCCCCACATCCTTCTGCTTTGCCTCCTCCCTCTCTTCTTTCAAAACCCAACTTAAAACCTGTCTCCTTAACTGTACTTTCCTTTCCTCAGCTTCCCCCCACCCCCCAGGGCTCCAGTCACCTTTGTGAAGAGCTTTGAGATGTTCTCACAATGTGAAAGGCGTTATATAAATGTACATTCTTGTTGTTTTAAATTCATTTGAAAGTTATTGAAATTTATTCAATTTATTGCATGTCTGAGAGACTAACCTTTACGAAGTAGAACCTCAGGAGCTATGTAGTTTGGAGTTCCAACCAGTGAGTGAGCAAGGCACCTCTGGTGCTGCCGGGCAGCCCTCTGCTCGAGCGTTTTTAACCTGTCTCCACACCTGCAGTCGGACAGGTCTCCCCAGAGATCACTTGGCTCCATGCTGTCCTGTCTGACGTGACTCCCTTTAAAGAAAATTAGAACATAGCAGGTGAAATTAAATTTCTGCAATATCTTACCCATGTTATTTTGCAGAATAAAATATTTGGGTTACAACTCCAGCAGAATTTCTTTATTATTAACCAGAGTCCAAGTGAGCAGACCTTGAATCTCAACAACATAAAATGGCTACAGTGTTCGAGTATGTCAGAATGGGGTATAAATAAGACACTTTGTACAGAGACAATGAAAATAATTTAAAACTGCTATTTTTTAAACACGGGTTGTGATTGTAGCTTACCTTATTAAATTTACCATTTCTAGTTCAATTAGTTTCACTGAAATTATCTAAGATAAATCACTTAATCTGAAGTTTCAATAGGTAACCATGTGTAATCCTATGCACTTGTGTCCCTTCACACTTATGAGTCACTATTTTGGGGCTCCAATGTGTGTGCTATGCTGCACTCTCTCATTGTGTATAATTGTCTTATTTTAAAAGTCAGATTAATCGTCTCACAGGGTTTTAGATCACACACATGTGGGAATGTAGTCTCCTGCATTTGCAACCTTTACATTAATGTAATACATGAACTGGAGTTAAAAAAAACTCAGGATGGTGCTGCATAAATGTATTACTTTTTGAGAGCAACTGAGGACATCTGCAAACTATCAATCTATAACCTAAAACTAAGATTATCTGGATCTCCTTTTTGGGTATCCAGCTCATTATTCTCAGTTTATATGCATTGGCAGTACTCTGGAAATCAGCTGGTTTGTTCTTTTCAGCCACCCACTCACTTTGCAGGCCATTTTTTCCTAAAAATAAGAAATGTTAAACTTGAAAAATAAAGGTAATGTTTTGGTGATGAAAATGGTCTGGAATTTAGATAACAAAATATTAAGAAGTTAGTTTGCAACTCAATGGTGCTCAGTTGAAGCAAAAATAAAAAATGTGAATTCCTACCCAGTATTTATTGCAAATAATTGAAATCTAATTGTGCTTGAATGCAAACGCTAACACACTTGAATTTAGTATTTTAAGCGTTCTGGACACTACCCTGCGTGAGTGGTGCTATATAAATGCAAGTTGTTGTTTAAACGTAGGTAGCCGAGTCTAGATTTGAGACAGTATTCAGTGGACTAAGAATCCGTTTTTATTATGTGACTCGGCTGCAGTGCCATAAGGTAGTGATAACTTTGTGTGAATGTCATCACAGACAAAACAGTGTGCAAATTAAAGTGAGTAAAATTATTTCAGTTAAGTAATAGATATGAGAGCAAGTTCTCGGCTGTAATCACATTTTCGAGTTTAGATGTCAGGTATAAACCACTTAAATTTAGATAGTTATCTAAATTCAAGAATTATTATTCATATTATTAACTCTTAGGTACGTATGGATTACATCAATGTTAGAATCATGTTCTATTCAATGCAGAAATTGTCTGCTCAGATGGAAATAGAGGTTATTTTAAAGTTTATTTAACATCTCCCTATGTATGATATCTGAATACGATTCAATGTCTGCATGGAATTCAAACTCTCCCTTTTTTGGTGGGCCAACCAAATAAGCTTTCTTGATTGAATATTTCTTCATTTATGGTCGAACCATGGGCATCTCAGCTCTGTAGGGAGTGGGGAAAAGAGCACTGATTTAGAATGGACCTGCCTGGACTGCTGTGAATGTTCGGCAGACCACTCCCAGGCTGTGGGCCATGGGTTGGCCATCACTGCCCTCGAGGGATACATCTTGCTTACCTAATTCCAGAAACTGTTAAGCGCAGATTGGGGACCACTGAGTTGGGGTTCTGATGGGAATTTAGCCAGCCAAAACTGCACAGATTGTCATCGAGAGCACTGTATGGTAGACCTCCCACAGCTTGTCTATCTGGGACTATTCTACCCATTAAGACTTTGACTTGCAGGGATAACTGGAGCTGAGTGGGAAGAGACCCTACTTCTAGTGGGGACTGTCCTGAAAGTGTCCTGGTGAGCAACACAATGTTGTTGTTGATGAAGTGGAAACAGCAACCATTTTTTTCATAGACCCATTATAACAATGTATCTAATTTTATGGATACAACATGCCAAATTATAATGGAGAATGAACATGACAAAATCTAAAAGTTGAAGTGTCACCATGAGAGCCTATACCAGTGGTAGTAAGACAGCTTTCATCAGTAATTAAATTCAAATTGTATTCAATTAATAATAATAATGGTTTCATTTATATAGCACCTTTCAAGTCAGAAGGATGTTTCAAAGTGCTTCACAGCCAATTTGCACACAGGAATGTCCCACAAACAATTACAATGGCACAGTTATAATTCTGAAACATTTATAGAAACAGATTCCAGAATGACTAAACATTCAATTGAAGACTGTGCTTGTAGTTTCAATGGAGAGTCTTTGATTTCCAGAAAGGGCATCACTGCTCTGAGCCGTAACACTTTGGTTGTCCTCACAGCCAAAATGAAGCAAAGCCATATTAAAAAGCTACACTAATTTAGACAAAGCAAATTTAATGCAACACATTTTCCTCCATTTCCAACCCAATCCTCTGGTTAAAGGGGAAAAACAAGACTTCTGCACAATCTGAGCCAACATCATTTACAATTAGTTTGCAGGAAGTTAATTCACACAGCCAAACTGAGTATTAAGGATTATTATTATTATTATCAATTTCCCTCCGTCATACCCCTCCACCATTGTCTCCTCCCTTAATCCACAGATGAGACATGTGTCATCTACAAAGAACTATTAGAGAATGAAGACCACACAATTCAAAGCAAGCAAATTTAAATTAGAGACTTAATCTCAAAACTATCTCATTCCAAATCAAGTTCTATACTCTTGACTATGCATTAAAAATATACTTTAAACTAAATTTAGTCATCAGAAGCACATCTGAAATGATACCCACCTTTCTGGTAGTATTTTGAATCATGAGTCCACCTGAATCCAGTACACAGACCAAAGTCTGTGAGCTTAATGTGTCCATCAAGATCTATCAGAATGTTATCAGGTTTAATGTCCCTGTGGATAAATCCCATCTTGTGTACACTCTCAATGGCTAAGGTCAATTCTGCAATGTAGAACCTTGCCAGTGACTCTTGGAAAACTCCCATGCGTATCAATAGACTCATCATGTCTCCACCAGGGATGTAATCCATCACAAAGTACAAGCTATCTTTGTCTTGGAAGGAATAGTAGAGTTTGACCACCCACTCGTTATCAGCTTCGGCAAGAATATCTCTCTCCGCCTTCACGTGAGCCACTTGGTTTCGACTCAGGACATCTTTCTTCCGCAAGGTTTTCATGGCATAAAGAGCATTGGTGTCCACTTTCTGGGCCAGGCAAACCTCCCCAAAGGCCCCGACTCCCAACGTTTTGATTTTAACAAAAAGGGACTTGTCCATTTTTGCTCGTTTCAGTCTGTTGTAGTTGGACTCTTTTTGATTCAGCATTTTCCTCATCTGTTCCTGTTCTCCCTCAGATAATCCAGCCTTGGGTGGGGTAAACAGAATACAGGGAAGACAAAAAAAAAACATTTGTCAAAATATTGGTCAAACAGTAACAGTGAAACCGATGATGGTTGTGCACAACCATTTTATGCCCAGCAAGGTACACAAATGATGAGATGAATGATCAATTTATCTAGAGGATTTTTGGCCAGGTAATCAGAAGAAATTCTTTTCTCTTTTCAAATAGTGCCATGGAATCTTAACATCAAGTCAGACAGGACCTCAGTTTAATGTCTCATCCAAAGGATGGCACCTTGGACAATCCAATGCTTACTCCAGGATTTCTCAGTTCAAATTCAATGTGAACCCACAACCTTCTGGCTCAGAGGCGAGAGTGCTAGCAACTCAGCTAACATAATATAATTTTCTGTATTAAAGGTGAGTTAGACCTCAAGTTATATTGAGGTTTAAATCAATGCTTCATAAACGGATTCCTTTATAAACTCTGCAAGTTGTAAATGGGAACTCCTTTTGGTAACCTCAAGTACATCATTCTCACTGGGGGGGGGGGGGGGGGGAAACTCGAGACTGACATACTAATCTAGAATTTCTGCTGGATAACATAGCATACATAGTTCGTTTCTGGAAGGAGTTTCTTTCCATTTGCAAGTCGGAATCATTATTTAAAAAAGCTCATTAGTAATCATAAGGAATACCATAGCATAGTGGTTAACACACTATCCTCACAGTAAGTAGGAACCCAGATATTTGTTGATTGGCGGATTGCTTTCAGGGGGTAATAATCCCCTCAAAAAAAATGGTTATTTATTCCATGACTGTTTGTAGGAAATTGCTGTGCACAATTGGCTCCCGTGCTTTGCCCACAAAATCACAAAATACACAGTCAATCCACTTTACAATATATTCTATGAAGCGCTTGGAGTCGTCTCAATGACGTGATAAGGTGCTTTATCAAATACAAGGATTATTATTATTATTAAGTAATCACTACAATTTAGACCTCACTGTGTAACAAAGTCATTACGAATTAGAATTTTATTCATTAAATGTACTCAAAAGCTGAAAATTGAAATTGAATTGAAGTCCCTATCCTGTCCACAGTCAACATTGTTCCTACTGATCCAGCTCTCATTTTTCTAAAGATCCTGAACTCACTTCCTCACCTGTTGTATGTACAACCACTGCCTCCTCATTATGATCCATTGTAACAGAAAGCTCTTATTTTGTTACCACAAGAGCTCAATGGGCAATTATTTGAGTTCGGTGCCAATGACAATTTCAATTACAACATTGTACAACTACAGATTAGAAACAAAGGACAAATCTGAAACAGTAATAGCAATCCTTGTATTTGACATAGTGCCTTAAATGTCAACACATCTCACAGAACTTTACAGATTTCAGTAATGATGTCTCTTGACATAAAAAGCGTTATATAAATGTAAAGTTGTTGCAGCTACTTAAATTGGAATGGAGTCCTGTAGCTCAGCGTTCAGAGCACTCGCCGCGCAAGCGAGAGACCTGCGTTCGATTCCTGGCAGGGTGAAATGTTGGGCAAGTTTCCTTATTCCACACGCCTCTGTTTACCTAGCAATAAGTAGGAACCCGGTTGTTAGTTGATTGGCGGATCGCTTTTCCGGGGATAATAATTCCTCAAACAAACAAAAAAAATTTGGTCACTCAATCCACGACTGTTTGTGGGACACTGTCGTGCGCAATTGGCTGCTGAGTTTCACCCACAAATATACAGTCAATTCACTTTATAGTATATTCTGTGAAGTGCTCTAAGACGTCTAGAAAACTTGAAAAGCGCTATATCAAATGCAAGGATTATTATTATAAACTGAGTAACCAGACAGGCTCATTTATTAAAGATTAAGAAGTTGGTCTGGTCTGTGGTATCAACCAGCTGAGAAACACTGCCTTTGACGCTGGCATAAGCCAATTTATTAACTTCTCTACTCAGCACAGTTCTGCATTTTGTTTATATGGGAGCAGGTTGTGCTACACATACACTATCTTTTGATCTAAATGCTCCGGAAAATAGATCAGTCAGGGAGAATAATTAAACTTTCTAGTGAAATCAGACTGTTCCTTCAGGATATGGATGGCAGATGTTGAACATGGAAAATGTAGAGGTGCTTTTCTGAAGTTGAGCTAATAATATTCCTTTCATTTGATATTGCACCTGCAACATCAAGATGTCTCAAAATTCTTCACAGGTAATTGTTACCAAGTGTAGTTACTATTGTAGGCAGACATAACAACTAACACAGCATGAAGTGATTGACCAATTTGTCTGGAGGACTATTGGCCAGGCCACTGGGAGAATTTCCTTTCCAATAGTGTCATGGGAAAAGGGAGAGGGTAAATAGGGAGAAGATATTTCCAATGATAGGAAAGGCAGTGACCAGGAGGCATAGTTAAAAGTTAGTCACAAGAACAGCAAAAGGGGAATTTGGAGGATTTTTTTCATCCCAGGAGTTGTTGGGATGTGGAACACCCTGCTAAATAAGGTGGTGGAGACTAAGTGCATTGTAGTTTTCAAGAGGGAAGTAATAAACAGGTATATGAAAGAGAGAAGCCCAAAGGGGTATGGGGGTAAGGCAGAACAGAGGTGTTGAATTGATCTCCTTACTCTATGAGCCAATGTGGCCTCAATGGGCCGAATGGTCTCCTTCAGCGCTGTAGATATCTATGGGATCTTTAACATCCAACTGAACTGGTAGACAGGGCTTAAATTCAACATCTCGTTCAAAGATCAGCGCATCCAGTACACTACTGAAGGAAATCTGCATTGTTGTAGTATAAGCCTGGACTATGAGAGCAACAATCTGATGTCCACAAACTTTCAACCAACAAACAAGATTGCTACCAATTGACACCTAATTTGACACAGAAGCCCATCATCATGCTTAGAAGCATTCAAACCAGATAGAGTTTCATGCATGCCGTTCACACATGGAAATTCCCACATTTAGAATGGAATATGCACTTTCATCCCAGACAGATGCACCTTGCCTAGCGATCATTAGACGTAGGTTGGCAAGAGCCAAGATGTGAAACCAGGCGACCGATGGTGTTTAACCAGCTAAATTGCATAGTTTGCTCCTTGAAGGGACTGGCAAGCAAGCTTCCTGCTGCTTGTCCAACTAGGACCACTAGCCTGGAGGGCGGGGGGAAGCAAGGTAATCAAAAGCATGGTCGAAGAGGAGTGTCTTGAGATGGATCTTGAAGGAGGCAAGGGAGGGGGCGAAGTGGAGGGACTGTAGGATGGAGTTCCAGAGGGTGGGGGTAGAGTGACAGAAGGCCTGCCCGCCAATGGTGAGTTGGGCAAGGCGAGGGACGTGAAGCAGGCCAGAGCCCGCTGAACAGAGGGAGCGGGAAAGATGGTAGGGGGTTAGGAGGTTGCAGAGGTAGTGGGGAGCAAGGCTATGGAGGGTTTTGAATGTGATGACCAGGATCTTGAACTGTATCCTCTGTGTGATGGGAAGCCAGTATCGTCAGGCAAGGATGGGGGTGATAGGGTCACAGAGCTTGGTGCAGGAGAGGACATGGGCTGCAGAGTTCTGGATGATCCACAGCCTATGGAGGGAGGAGTTGGGGAGGCCGACAATCAAGGAATTTGTGTAGTCAAGCTTGGATGTTATGAATACGTGCATGAGGGTTTTGGCAGCCTGCGGTGTGAGACAATGGCGGAAATGGGCGATGTTGTGGAGGTGGAGGAAGGCAGAGCAAGTCATGGCACCGATGTGGGGTAGAAAGGATAGTTGAGGCATGAGGTGTGAAGGCACTGACAGGAGCAAATCAGGAGGGCCTCGGTCTTGTTGACGTTCAACTGAAGAAAGTTAGCTCTCATCCAGGCCTTGATGACTAACAGACATTCTGTCAGGACAATCGTGGTCCTGGAATCAAGGGTGGAGGCAGAGAGAAACAGTTGGGTGTCATCCACATACATGTGGAAGGTGACCCCATGTCTGCGGATGATGTCACCAAAGGGGAGCATATAAATGTTGAAGAGGGGACCAAGGACAGAACCCTGAGGAACGGCATACAAAATGGTGCAGGGGCTAGAGGAGAAGCTGTTTGGGGAGATGAAGTGGAGGCGGTGTGAGAGGTACGATCTGAACCAGTCAAGGACAGAACCATGAAGGTCGAGGTGGGAGGAGAGGCAGTGGATGAGGATAGAGTAGTCAACGGTGTCGAAGGTAGCAGAGAGGTCAAGGAGGATGAGGAGGCAGAGGAAGCTCTGGTCGCAGATGGACAGAATGACACTTGTCACTTTGACCAGGGCTGTTTCTGTGCTGTGAGCAGCACGGAAACCCGATTGGAGGAGTTCGTGAAGGGAGTGGTGGGAGAGCAAGGAACAAAGCTGGGAAGCAAAACTCGTTCCAGGACCTTGGAGAGGAAAGGGAGGTTGGAGATGAGGCAGTAGTTTGAGAGCACGAATGGGTCCAGGGAGGANTTTTTTTTAAGGATAGGAATGATGACAGCCATTTTTAAAGGGGTGGGAACAGTACCAGAGGACGGGGAGAGGTTTATGATGTTGTGAATAGAGGGGCAAGGAGGTGGAGCTGGGAGGTAAGGAGAGGGGTAGGGATGGGGTTGAGGGAGCAGGTGGTCGGTTTCATGTGGGTTATAGTGGTGATGAGAGAGGAGGGGGAGACGGGTTCAAAGGTGTGGATGGAGGGCTGGGGTGAGAGGAGGAAGATGGGGAGGGGCTAGTAGATGGAAGGGCAGAGGCAGCTGAGCAGATCCTCTTGACTTTTGATTCAAGGAAGTCCAGCATCGCCTCGCAGTTGGCATTGGAGGTGAGGATGGGCAAGCATTAGAGGGCGGGCGGAGGAGCCGGTCCTGCTAGCTGCTCTGTCATCAGCAGTGCTATGAAGTCCTACAACCAGCTCGGCTCAGAAACCGGTTCACCAACGAGGGCCAACCACTGCCGAAACATTTAATACACATTGGTGACGAAGATTAGAGGTGCTGTGTTCAACATCGAACCAACTGTGTAGCTGATCTGAGAGTCAACGAGTTTTAAAACTGGGTGCCTAAAGTGGGAAAGTGTTGCATTTTCTATCACTGCAAACTCAATTTGTTGAGCACAAAAACACAATTAACATATAGTAAATAAAACAAATACCTTTGACATTTCTTGTTCCAACTGGAATCTTCTATTTAACTTTTGCTGATAGGTTTTCATAATGTTTTCCACATGTTGTTCCATAAAGAACTTAAAAGCAAAAGGGGAATAACTTTTAATTCTCGACTCCCTTTTCTCTTCATCTTTGCTATTTTTACGAACAGGCACAGGAGATGTTTGGATACGTTTTTTGTCCTTGCCAGTCTTTTCGGATTTGTGTGGTTTGTCGTTTTTCTCATTTTTCTCATTGCTGCCATCCTCGGTTTTATTGCAGGTCAAACTATGGACACCGTGGATACCTTGCTCCACACCCACACACAAACAGTTTGTGTCAAACTGCTCTGCACTGTTCTGAAGCAACAAGTGTTTGGGATACGGTGGGGGTGGGCATCTACGTAGGCTATCTTTCATAGGGTAATCATCAGGCTCAAAGACATAGGCTGCAGCTCCTCCTCCTGTCAATGATTTCTGATCCATTACATCCGTATTATCCACCGCCTGAGCCTGTTGTAGCCACCCTGGATGTGAAGGTGCCACAGCCGTCTGAGGCTCAGGCCTGGGAACTCTGATACTCCTCACTGGCTGAAGAATAGGGGCAGAGGTTACTGTTGTTATTGTATTGGTGATACTTAGTGATGATTCTGCTTTGTTGGTCTGAACCTGTCTCACTGAGGACGATGTCTGCAATTGACTGTTGAATGAATTAGTTCGGTTTGGTAACTGGGCGTCTGCTCTGAGATGACTAGGCTGCCTTGATAAGCCTTCCAGCCCAGTGCTCTGCAAAGAATCCCTCCTTGATGGAGATGGTGTTTGCCAATGTTGCACCTGGGAAGTGTTGATATCATAAATGTCCATGTTCAGGCTATTTCTTGAAGAGGTCATCAAATTTTGGGCGAGTTCTGAAAAGTCATTTCCAAATGATGGAACCAAGCTTGACATCATCTGCATTTGGGGCGAAGTGGGACTCTGCTGTCTGTGATTGGAGTGGGGCAGATATAGAATGGTTGTAGGCTGTTGGAAAGTGTGTCCTGGCATGGCCTGAGTAACAGGTCCTTTATTCTGAAGACTTCCATAACTTCCATCTGTTTCCATCTTGTTTTGGAAAGATGAGCTTCTTTGGACAGTATAACCTAAAGACACACTGTTTTCTCCTTGAGCTTTCAAATGCTGCCTCATATAATGTGGATTGGTTGGCCCTTGGGTGCCCTGCAGTGAGATGGATTGGCTACTGTGGTTTGGAAGCGTGTAACTCATCATTTGAAGAGGCTGGGCAGCATCACCTTTTGCTGAAAACGTTTTTTGTTGAAGTTTAATATCAAGAGTTGCGGATGGGAATAGAGCATTAGATGGAGGGTTCTGACTGCTAAGCACAGAGTGAGGTCCTATAGGAGAGCACCTCTGTACTGGAGCACTGATTGTCATACCCTGTCCTGTAGCAACTAAAAAGTTCATGTTGAGCGTGTTTGAATATTGCCTTGGTATTTCTCCATGTAGATTTGTAGTCTCATTTGCAGTCTCTCCCAGTTCATATATTGGATTACTCATCTGGTGATAGGCAGACAAAGAGTCATTTGATCCTTCAAAACTTGGCCTGCGGTTAAGAGGATGCGGTCCAACACCTTTCCCTTAAAATAAGCAAATGACATGAGATGATTAGGATAATCTGTGTGCTGCAGTTATTTCAGAAAATGATGGATGCTAATGTTACCCAAAGGAAGAACAAGGCTTAGAAACAAATTCAGCTAATTGTGTAATGTAGAACTTGTTGCCTGAAGCAGTAATTGAATCGGATAGTATACTCAGCTAAGAGGAAGTTAGATGTGTACATGAGGGAGAAGGGAATAGATGGGTAGAGGAGGGAGAAAGGAGTGGCTGCAAACTCATGTGGAGTATAAACACTGGCACAGACTAGATGGGCCAAATGGCTAATTTCCTGGTTGTAAATTTGGCCACATTACACCAAGATGCCTAAGCACTCTGATCACTGATAACTTTACTAACCTTGACAGCTGAGCATATTCAGTAATTTACTGATCTTGGCAACATGAGCCTATAATGGTATTTCCTATTAGAATCTAACACCAGAAAGCATGATAAATTTACAAACTATTGCGAAAACAACAACAATTTTTCACATCAAGAGCAAGTCCCAAGGCACTGGACAATAGAGGGTTTACACCTGAGCTGATGTTTAGGTTTAAGAGGGATGGGGGTGGTCGACCAAAGGCGCGGTCGAGAGGAAAATCTTGAGTCAGACCTTGACATACACATTCACCTGAATAGTCAGTAATTTACCAATGATCAATCACTCTCCCTAGTGCTGTTACAATGAATCAGTTTTGTTGAATCTAATCCTGTTGAGGATACAGTGCAGCACTGTTACAAATAAAATCTCCCATTCTTAAAATGACTGGTTTGTTTGATTCGCTTGGGTCTGGGATGAAGCAGAAACAGATACTTGTACATTACAGATGTTAAATTTGGTTTAAAAAAAATGTCAAAAATGCATGGGATGGGGATGTAATCCAGACACATTTCTTCATCTCCTTTCAGTAAACGGAAAAATGTCATCATAGTTCTTTAAGCTTTAAACAAATAAAGCCTAACTATGCAAGGAATGTTCAGATGAAAATCCAGTTACAGACATATGTCATTACAGGCTACAGATTTCAAGACTGATTTTAAATATTATTCTATATTAACACAGGGGTCTGACACATACGGAAACCAATTACCATGCTAAGGCACTATAGCAAATGCAAGGATTATTATTACTATGACATCAAATGCAAGGATTATTATTATAAGACTAAAGGAAATCTCAGAGGTAGGATGGGAAAGGGCAAAATTTTAAAAGTCAATCAATGGAGTCTGGCGAGAAAGGTGGTAATGGGCTTGTAGAGGAAAGGATAGGGAAAAATGGCATGATTAAACCAACACTAAAATAACACTAATGAATATCTCTTTTGCTATGTTTGCAAGAAAATACAGAACAATAAACATTAACTCTGTGCTACTCGTCCACAAATTTACCAAATTTACAAATCACAACATAAACTTTCCTATGCGACATTATCATGCAGCCTGGACACAGTTCACTGCACAAAATGAAATGCAAACATCCCTTCAGTCAGTATCAGGTTTGTACCCTCCGGTGCATAATCAGAATTGTCAAGCTCTTTGTCCTCTAGGCGTGAAAGGCTCTGTAGAAGTGTAAATTGTATTGCACATTGATGTTTGCAAGTGATCCCATATTTACCTGGTGATGTCTGCTTAATAACTCTTACAATCTGTTCAGTCCTGGGATCTAGGTAACCCATCTTGCTTATATAGTCCAAAGCTGCTTCAATGCTTCTGCTACCAGTTTGCTTCAGAGCTCGGATAGCCATCTCCTAAAAATAAAAATATAAATCTTTTAAGAAGAATCTTGATTTGGGATGACAAACACATTGAATTATGATCTGTTTACATTTCAACATATCTACTACTTGAACTTGTTCTGATATATCCTGGGTTACTCTTGAATAATGGCCACTAGGGTGCAGTATCGGAGGGCAAGAGCCCCAGGCGCTCTTGAGTCTGTAACCTAGTATAAAAAGGGAGTCAAGAGCATTCAGGGGAAGATGAGAATGGAGTAAATTGACAAGAGAAAAATAAGTTAAAAAAAATTACTTGTGTTAATTCATTTTCCCCTCTGAAGTCAAATGTCCTGGTGTAATTAAAAAGAAGCTATATTAAAAACAAAACTATGAAATCAAAGATGGGATTCCACCAATTATTTCTCTCTCTCAGAACCTGGCCTGTTTTTTCACACAGAATTATTTGGGCCAACTGTTGCAACTTTCATCCAGTCCATCCTGTTATCCCACTCAATTCAGTGAGTACTGCAGGCATAACTCAAGGAATGAGCACATTAACAGGCGATGTTGGCGCCTGTCTGTTGGAAACAAAACAGATGCTTTTGCAAACACCTTTTTTTTTTGAGTAAAAGAAAATGCATTTTCAAATTTTTGGGGGTGAGCCGGATGCATACGGAAACCGAACACCATGCTTAAGGATATCCAAACCAAGCTGAGAATTCCATGCATCCCACCTATACATGGAAATTCCAGAGATAGATTGTTGAAATGGAATGGGGACTCTCTTCCTGGAGGGAAGCATCCTGTTTACCCAATTCCGAAAAGTATTAGGCATAAGTTGGGGACCCCAAAATGTGTCTAACCAGCTGAAACCGCATAGCTTGCCATTGATAGCACTATCTGGTAAACTTTCCCGCTGCTTTTCCAGCTAGGACCACCCTACCTGTTAGGGCTTTGGCTTGCATGATTAACAGAAACTGAGTGGGGTATTCCTTGTCCCAAGTGACTGATCTGTCCTTCCAGGTCCCGCTGATGAGCCAGGCTGGTTGTGCTATCATCAGCAGTTTCCTGGAATACTGTGGACCCGCCTGGTTCAGGAACTGGACTATCGAGACCGCCACAGAGGGCTGATTCGATTCCAGTATTCCTTGCCAAACATGTCATCTTGGATCCAGTTCAGCTCCAAGGAGACTCCGCTTACCTCCCTCCCACCCCCCCCCCCCCAGGAGGATAGTTGTAAAAGATAGTTTCAAATTGTAAACAACACTATTTCTCTTAGAGCAACATTCAATTTCTTTGGTACAGTATAATTAATAATGGACCCTTTTTACAGTCTTCTTTGAATAGTTTACATTAAAACAATTAATAGCATCTCATGTACATAAAAGGATTTTACTATGGGCATTTGAATAATTATTCAAATCTCCCCACTCGTGCCAGGTTAGACTTATTCAAATCCTATACAATAGTTCAAAGAATTGAACAAAGATTTTAGTTGCTGGGGAGAAAACACGAGGGTGAATTATTTGTATATTTATAGTAATAACATGCAAATTTTCAAAAATATTAAACTCATGGATGATCTTTTACGTCCTGTAGAATCGGCTGTAAAGGTAACATGTTTTAAATAAATCTCCTGCCTTCAACCATTGTCCACAATGTTTAACAAAGGTTTTGTGGAGAGCAATCCTTGCTACGTCAATGATCCAGTGGCACATTGAGCAATTGTAGCCCTTGAGAATGACAATAGCACCCCACGAGAATTGTATCTGAAATCACAGAAAGTTATAGCACAGAAACCGTCCATTTAGACCTTCAAGTTTGTGCTAAAGTTTTTCTACGCATGAGACTTTAACGTTCAGAATTTGTGCCACTTCATGTTTTCCACTCCCCGCACCTAAAATCTTTGTTGAGGTTTTCAATTTAATTCTATAACAATAATCCGTAAACTTTTGAAATGCATCACCTGATGGCGCCTTTACCCATCGGACCCAATGCCATTGAGGAAGTAGATATGCAGTTTAATGTTCAAGCATTCACCACCTCAAGAGACAATTTTCAGAGCAAAGGAAACCGATAATCTATGTAACCAAAACATTGACATATGGGAAGAGTTCTTTTTGGAACAGATGAGTTGGTCACATTAAGGTCAAAAACATAACTGGACTTGAAAGGTTAACTCCTCCACAAATATTTCACATACTAGTTCCCTCAAGCTTCAGATATACAGTGTATACTTACCTGCTAAGAAAAACAACACAACTTTGAAAGCTCTCAGTCAAAAATAATTATCCACATTCCAACAACTTATCAAGGTTAATTGTGTCAAAATAATATTAATAAAAATTAAATACCGTTTTAAAAACACAGTTGTAGCACAGCCCCGGTGGTACAGTGGATAGATTATGGACAAGGTACTTACTGGTTTGAAACCTATTTGAGAAAAGCCCCGGTGGTACAGTGGATAGATTATGGACAAGGTACTTACTGGTTTGAAACCTATTTGAGAAAATTGAGTACGCTGGTCTCAACTGGTGAGGCAAAACTAGTCTCAGCCTTCTCAGTTAGAGGAGGAAAAGGTCCCCATACTGCACCCTCTACTGGTTGTGCATTTGGGGAAAGGTGAAGCTTGGCTGGGACACCCTCTCCAGTCAAGTTACTCTTCGTGGCATTCACTGAGACTTGCACATGAACAACAGGCACTTGGGCAAAGTATCAGAGGTTAACCAGTGACTGTGGAACTATACCCCAGAATGAGAATCCAGACCAGGAGCAGAGGCATATGTCAGCAGGAAGAAAATTAGAAGAAAATGGAAACAACAAAATTACATTTATAGAGTGCCTTTCACGTCGGGAGGACGTCCCAAAGCGCTCATTTTTATAATTTTTTAAAAAAAAACTAAATGTAAAGTAAGATATAGATAACACAGATAGCTTGTTGGTAATAATATTCTTCACAGGATCAGTCTGGGTGAACACTCCAGAACACTCATTCTACTACAGCCCCCCCGCCCCCACCCACCCTTTATTTTTGGTCAGCTAGGGTCTGACAGACCCAGAATGTGCATTGGGGGTACTGCTGTAGTCTAACCAGCTAAAACGGCATAGCACTATTTGGCACTATTTGGCAAGCTTTCCCAGTTAAAACTTCCCTACCCATTAGTGCTTTGGCTTTGCAGGATTAAGAGGAGTTGAGTTTGAAGAGTCCCTGCTCCAGTCACTGATCTGCCCTTCTTCTAAGTCCTGCCAATGATCCAGGCTGGCTGGGCTGTGGACCTACTTGATTCAGTAACTGGATGACCGAAATGCCGCAGAAGGTTGGCTCAATTCTGACATTCCATCTCCCCCATCACTGCATCAAGCTGATTTAAGAGTCCAGTGTACTGGCTTCTACCACATTTCCTGGCAACCAGTTCAAGTTGTTGATCACTCTCTGCCTAGATATAAAAATACCCATTTGAATGTAAATATTTCCTCTTAATAGTCCTTGTATTTGATTCAGCGCTTTAACATGTCATCAAAGCCTACACAGGATATACTATAAAGTGGATTGACAGTGGGGTTAAAAAAAACTACGCAAAATAGCAGTAAGTGATGCCTTGATGCCAGAAACGTGCTTCAGGAAGTAAAGTGCAGCTCCTCCCGGGAAATCTACATACGTCACACTGAACCATGAGAACTTGACTCTGACCCATCAATGAAAAGCTTCAGAGAAACTATTCTGTGCTGCATCTTCCTCATAAATTCCTCCATAGCCATTTGTTCAGTGAAGTAACTTCAAGTACAATCTTCAAACTTTTTTAAAAAAAAGAACATAAATTAGATCTGATAGCTGAATGCCAGCTCAACAGGCAATACACTAAAGAAAATCCCAATCGTAAAAATCTGTCCTGCTGAAATAAATGGCCACGTCAGTTTACCTTCACCTTTTACAGAGCAGGATTAACACATGCTCACATTTCTGCTGTGTGATTATGGTCCATTTGCAAGCAATTACCAGAGTCAGCTTCAGTACAAGAGGGCACGAGGTCACCTTGAAGTCTCTGGGTCACAGTAAAACTTTGTTATGCCTGAAGTTAGCTTGGAAACTGGTCGAGAACTGGTTCAAACAGGACCAGATCTCAAGCAGTGCCTGGAATTCCTCCTCTCCTCCGCCAATCACTACGCACATTTATTCTCTAATGGGATGGCCAGCATATTAGCTAGTATAGTAGCCATTCCCTTTGCTGTGCAGATGCCATTGCTCCCCAGAGCTAGAAGGAAGACCCACCTTGGGTACCTTGACCCAGATGATCACTTTGGGAGGAGGCGGTAACATTCCCTGGAACAAAGCATGAATTTCTCAAATCCTTACAATTACCACAAAGCTGATAGCCATTTAGCCCATCAAGCCTATGCTGATGCTAGCCTCTCTCCTAATCCTCTGCTCTCTCCTAGGATCCTTTTACAATGTTTCTCTTCAAATATTTATCTAATTCCCTAATTAAATTAATGTTAGTTATGATTTCTGCTTTAATAGCTACTTGTGGTTTATACCACTTCCACCGAAAGGGATTCTAAGCCGACAAATCTCTACCCAGAGTGCTAATACCCGTTCTGTCCTGCACACTGAAACTCCATCCTGGAGACCCTCCGACTCGCTCTCTCCCTCCCCTAGATTAAGGCCCATCTCAAAACATACCTCTGTGACTGCTCATTTCGGTAATCTTTCTCCTCCCCCAACCTCCCTCGGCTTCTAGCCCCAACCCAGGTGCCCAGTTTATTGACAAACACTTTTAAGATGTCCTCCTCATGTGAAATGCGCTATATAAATGTGATCTGTATTGGAAATGCATTATATTGTTCTTTGATCAGTTTTTAGGATTCATTTAGCGATGATTTCTTGTGCTGTGCAGTCCCTTTTCGTGATTAAAACAGTACAGTGGGGTGATGAATTATGTGTTAAAACACATTTTGATGATCATGGTTACAACACATTGTTGCACTAGTGTTTATATTGATTTGCTCTTAAAGTTCTCTGGCACGCTACCCTG